GACCGGAGATATCTGCCTGCTAAACTTAATCCCATCCCTGAAAGCGCTCCATCGCATTAAAAAAAAGCATTTCTTTGTCTGTCTTTGCAGTGTATGCAATGCTACACGAGAACCACGATGAACCAGATACATTCTAATACATCTGAGCGTGCGTATCACACACACACATCTTGTTTTTGTCACTTTTAAAGAGGGATGTAAGTTAAAGATGATGTTCCTTCTCTAGCTCATATTACAGGTTTCCTGTCTATGGGTGCTCACACTTTTTTAAATTTACTCTCACTCACAAATGAGTCCAAAGTTTGGTTAGGGTTGGATTTAAATGGTAAAATGATCCCTCTGGGTTATAACCTCATGCATTAAATGCAGTTTATGAACCCTGGCCAGAAAAACATCGCCGTGCTGCCATCTGAAAGCTTCAAATCACGGAAGGGTAAACCACTAGGATTTGTTTACGAGGACTGGGGCTGCCCTGTTAAGTAACAACTTACATAAAGGCATGTCTTTGCATTGCCAGCAAGTTCAAACTTCTGATTCAACTCCAACTTAACCCAGAAGAAAAATCTACAGTGTGTACATTGTGATGGAAATGATCTCAGCATCTCAGAAAAAAACAAAGCATCTCACCATCTACAACAATTAGAGTAAATTGAGAAGCATTTCTCTGCTGACTGTTTCAGTTTCCTGTTTTCTAAGAAACAAATACTAAAATTGGGAGAAAAAAAAAACCTACCATGTCAGTCAGGTGGTTAAGTCCCAGTGTGAAGTTGTGTTTTCCTGCCGAGACTTCCTGGTTGTGTTTCAGCACCAAGAGCCAGTTCTTCTCCCATATAGCCCTCCGGAGGGTCAACTCAGTCTGAGACAGACACAGTGAGGTGTGAGCTGAACCTTTTATGTGCTAAGAACAGGTAGAAAATGCTTCTTTTTAAAAATGAATCAAACCTGATTTTCATAAGCTTTGTTATGTTTGATTTTCCATTCCTCCCACACTACGCTTGCAGCTGGTGAAATGTAGCTGAGGGCCACTGAAGGCAAAAGCAGCAGCAGCACACACAAAAAGTGCATCCTGTGAAGACAAAAAAGGCAAAAGTAAAGATGCCCATCCAGCAAATCATCAACAGAGTCCATATGCTGAACACATATGGGCAGAATTATGAGCAAAATTAATCAATTCAGCGTCCTGGTCAGACACAAGCTGTTTCTTTGAGATTTTCAATTACTTAGATTATGTATTAATTACATATTATATGGGATCCCCTTTGAAAAAATGGGTTTGATTATTTAGCTTAAACTGGGTTGTATTCATGCATTTAAATTGAAAAAGAGTTAAATACCCAGAAGAAAATTTGATTTGTCAATATAATTTCAAAGAGAATGATCTGGCCCTGAAGGACACAAAACACAACTTCTGATATGACTGAATCAAGCTAAACATTAAGTAGTCCATTTCAGAAAAGGCAACTTTAAACATTGCATGAAACACACTAGTATTTCAAAAAATATACAAACGTATAGAACATATCTGACAAAGATCTCAATGTATTTTCAGAAATGTCATAAATAGCTCAATATTGTCGTGTTTATGTTGGTTTTCTCGTATCCATCTGTTTTGCACCTCACTGCCAGTTTGCACACACTTCTGCTCATTCTAAACGTGAGACTTTAGTTTAGTCAAAGGAACACATTCATAACGTTAAAACAAGAATGAATCTTTGTGTAGGTGGGTAGTGTTACCTTCCTTGTGTTGTCTTCATTACTACTGAACTGAGAAACAGTCAGAAGTAAACGTAAAACAATGCTGGTAAAAGGATCTCATTGCAGTACACCACAAGCAAATTCCACTCAGTTATTCAAGTCCACAAACACAAAATTACCCAGTAAAACTTCCATGCCAATGCACGAAAAAAAACAAAAGAAAAGGACGCTTTAATTATTTCCTCAACTCAAAAAGGGAAATCTAAATGTTCATTGACTGTAATCTCTGCGCCACCCTCACAATAAATCTGTTTATGTTGGCATCTGCATACCGTCAGATAAGAAAGTTTAACAAGGATCTGATCTTTGCACAGGAACAAATATAAGGTTATTACCACGACAGGCTTTTATCTCACCTTGATTCAGAAAGATCAGAGCGTATGTCCAAGGAGGAACTTTCAGCTGTGTCTAATAAAACAACGAGGAGTTTCACACTCAAAAGCAGAAGTTCAGTTTCCTCTTACGAACTTTTTAAAACCTGTTTCTCCAGTGCGTACACTCTGCGGCTCGTCATGTGAGTCCAATTTACTACCAGCTGCAGTAGCTCAAAATAACCTTCCAGCCTGAGAAGTGGGAGTAAGATTCTGATCAATGCATGAAAAAAGACAAAATGAAACTGTTTGTTGAAGGAGATCTGGAGAAAACGGATGTTCTGTTATGAATGGGGAGAAATTAGAGTAAAACTGATCTGACCCATGTTATGATATAAGTAACTGGTTGATTTGAAAAGAGGAAGTGAAGGCTAAAGATGGCAGAAACAGGGAGTCCCTGTAAGCATTTGCAGTTTGTTACAGGTTTCTCAGAGGGTTCCTGAGAATTTCATGGGGCAAAAGATAATAGACCATTTGACTATTCATACTCTTTGCTCAAATATTTGATTTCCTGTTCCTTTTCAACTCTGCGTCACTGTGTTTACATGTATAACTTTACGTTTGTGTTTGAAATAAACTGTTTCGTCACATCCACTTCCTGCTGATACGATATGATCAACCAAACAGAGCAGTGAAAAAATCAAGGGGGGGAAATTTGAGGAATTAAAGGGTAAGATACAGTATTGTAACATATAATACACATTATAAAACACATAATCTTTCCCCAATTTGCTTTTACGTATTGTTTTTATGAATTCAAAGATGAAAAGGACTCCTGAGATACATCACAGAGAGAGCAACCCAGAATGTAGCAGTGATGAAACTCATATTAAGACGATATTATGCAATCCTGAACTTTGATTTGGCTCGTGTTGCTGTGAGTGATCATCGCTGATCTTTGCCCCTCCTGAATCCGGTTTTGGAGAGAGATTTGCTGATGAACGCAAGTTCCCTGACGTCCTGCACCAGATGGTGAATTTCTGTCTCAGCACGGGGTCTTATTTGGCACACCTCTGCGGCCGAGAAGTTTCAATAAACACCTGATGTTTTTTTTTTCTCAGGTTTGATAAAATCTAATGCAAAAATCTAAACCTAAATGTTGTGAAATCACTGGGGATTTCTGGGGAATTCACAGCATCAGATCTGTCCTTGGCTTAATTAAAAATTTCAAGTGGCTCTTATAAGAAACTGCTGAATAGGTATTTCTTTTTTCTTTTTTTTTTTCCCCAAGTGTCTTTACTCAAATCCATCCCCATCTGCTGTTGCTCCTAAATCTCTGCGTTTGGCTGACCTGTGCCTGCCTCCTGTCATCCAGTGCAGCGTGTTGGAGGGAGGCCAGCACCTAGCGCATATAATCCCCCAGCATGCAGCCAGCACCAGCGCATCCACTGCCAGGTTCGTTGTTGCCATGAGGACGATGGAGCCACGGGGGAACCGAGCAACCGCATCACGCTTCCTTTGGAGTTTAAACGTTCAGAATGGGGGGTCGGAGGTTGAAGATTTCTCCTCGTTGTATATTTACTTGCTCCCCCAAATAGCTTCGGTCATTTGGATGTAGTCATTCTATGATCTTTTGCTTATGTTAGGGATTAGTACCAAGGACAACGATAAAGGAAACACACAAAAAAACAACGTTGAGATAGCAGGTTTTTTTTTTACCAAAATGACCAGCCGTCCATTCTGAAGAGAAGGTGAGCATTCTCAATTTCCCTTTTTTTTTCTTAAACTTGACTGAATTTAGTTCATTGTATGCAACTACTCTTTGTGATTGCACTTTTAAAACGGTCAAAATACAATAAGAAGCTGCTTTTCCATCTTTTCAGTTACTCACACGTGTTCTCCCCAAAGAGTTATGAGGGAGTTCATTTCAAATCATTCTGAGCTGTGTGGACCTGCTGTTATTATTACTGTTAGTCAGAAAAGACGCGTCTTCTAGATCATTTTACCACCTGAAAGGTACAATTGCTGATAGATTAAGATCACCTTTCAACTTGATTAACTCGAGCATGCTTGCTTGCTGAATGTTTTAAGTGTCACAGGTTTCAAAATTAGAAATAAAGGATTGTTTTTCTTAAGTTCAACCAAACTAAAAAAGCCCACATGGTAAGACTGAGAAATAGACGTGTTTTTGAGCCTCAAGGAACAAGAGTACTTTCCAGTTTTCCATTTGGAACTGATATTTCTGTGAAAAATAAAGATATTTGGAAGAAATCGTCCCTCTTTCAGCGGTTCATTTTGCATCCCTCCGCTGACATGCTGCCCCCATCAGAATGATGTGTGAGCTGAGCTGCCAAAACTGAGGGTGGCATCACACTTGGAGGTGTCAGTTTTTTTTTTCTTCTCTTTGCGATTGCTGTCTTGGCAACTTAAGATGTGCCTTTCAGCAAGTCACGCATCTTCTATGAAAAGCCGATGGCTCAGCGAACGTTGCTCATTGAGACCAGTGTCTTTTGGGTAATGCAAACATTTCTGCGTATCCATGTCCACACTCTCTCACAGGAGTGGAAACTCATTCGGTGTTTGACAGTGGGATCATCTTTGGGCTGCTGTCTGTGGACAGGATTACCACTTTCCTTGAAACTAATATGCAAATTTTGCTTCGCTCTTTCTGCCCTCTAGTGGTTATCATAGGAACATCTTTGATAACATAAAATGAGCTTATGATGATTTGAGATTGAAACGATGTTTTGGAGCTGCAAAGGACATCCCTTCTATTACAAAACCTCTCTCTTACGTGACCAGAATTCCGGGAATAATAAGACCTTGACATTTGTACTCCAAAGGTTGGTATTATCACAGTTACCGCTTTATTGTTTTATTGATACTCTATGAGCAGAGGATAATGACGTGAATGCATTTACAGTACTTTACTGACTCCTAGTGTCATGTAAATATCTTTGTCTCAGCCTTTAAATACAGCCCCCGCTCCACTGTCTGATGATTTTCATCTTTGCTGACATGTGTTATGATGAATACAGAAACCTTTATAGGATGACAAAAATGAATAAAGCGATAACATTAAAAAAACATGACGCTGATCTTCACAATTTCCATTTTCGACATCTTCTTTTGAAATGAAACAACACAAAAATCTTGCAATACAGGTTAATTCTTTTTTTATTTAGCACTTTTGCATATTACTGATCAGTGAAAATGGTTTCCACAATATATCCAAAACACGAAATATGTAGGCAAAAAAAAAAAGAAAGAAAATAAAACAACAAGGCATTTCGACAAAATGATTCAATAATGATTTAAACCAGTGACATCTAATGAATATGTGATCCTTTCACATCTTTTGTCCAGAGGGATTGAAGCCTCACACCTTTATGGTTAAGTTCTCCATTCTCTATCTGCTTTCAAACAGAGTGCGTTTGATTCAGTTTCTATTGTTCATGATCCTGCATGAGATGTCGAGCTGAAACAAAAATAATTCAGAGTGCTGCAGCATCCTTGAGCTTTATAGTCTGTGTTGCTAAGAGAGTCACAACTCTGACAACCACCGGACCGAATAGGAAAGCTTTGCTCTGCAAACATGCCTCCAGCTTCTAGCTTTCATCGGTCTTCCTGAGGCTGGTACACAGAGACTGAATGATTAAGTTTGGGCAGATTAATGCTATAATCTGAAATGAATGCCATTTGTGATCTGATTAAATCCGGTTTTTGTGCCCATAAAGACAAGGGTCTCTATTAATAGCAGGCTTGTTATGAAAAAGATATTTACTGTTTGGCAGGAGATAGAAGTAAATCCTTATCTGATATTGGAACGTAATAGTGAATACAATATGAAAAAAAGTGATCTCAAATTATGCAACAGTGAGATTGCATGTTCTCAAAATTATTTAGGATAAATAGAGGCTGGCTTGTTATCCTGCTGTATCTCAGAGTTCATCACTTTTTGCCGTTTTCTCCACAGCTGCTGTTTCCCTCACACATGCAGGGGGGCCAGCAGATGTTTGAGGGTCCGTGGATGTTCCGGAGCGTTCTCTGCCTGCTGGCCGCCGGCGTGGCGTTACCGACCGAAGCCCGCTGGCCGTGCCCGCCGCCCTGCTACTGCGGCGCCCCGCTGCCGGAGGTCAACTGCTCGGGCGGCCGGCTCGCCGCCGTGCCCGCCGCCGTCCCCAAAGAGGCCACGCTTTTGAACTTGTCCCGCAACTCCATCAAGACTCTGCCGCGTCAGCAGTTCCGCGCCCTGACGCAGCTGTTGCACTTGGATTTGAGCGACAACCTCCTGGTTTTGGTCGAGGCGGAGGCCTTCCTCGGCATGCAGAGCCTGCTGACCCTCAACGTCTCCCGCAACCAGCTGAAGATCATCCCTGTCGGGGCGTTTGCCGGTTTGACGAGTCTCCGGTTCCTCGACGTAAGCGGCAACCAGATCCTTGTGTTCCTGGACTTTACCTTCAGCGACTTGGCAGCGTTGCAGTTCTTCACGGCGGCGGACAACGACTTGGTTTTCGTCGCTCACCAGGCTTTCGCTGGGCTGACCACTCTACAGGAGCTGCACCTGGACGGCTGCAACCTCACTGTGGTGCCGACGGAGGCACTTTCCCAGCTCAGTGTGCTGAGAGGCCTTCACTTTCATCGTCTGGGCCTCACCACGCTGCCAAACTATTCTCTCCATCATCTGGTGCACCTCAAGGACCTCAGAATTTCTCACTGCCCCAGGCTTGAGGCTCTGTTGGGGAACAGTCTCTTTGGGCTTAATCTCACATCCTTGACAATTAAGTACTGCAACCTGAACGGTGTGCCCTACATCCCTTTACATCACCTAGTCTATCTTGAATTCCTTGATCTTTCTTTCAATCCCATCACTTACATTCACGGGAACCTGCTCGGGGATTTGCTCCGGCTCCAAGAGTTCCACCTCGTCGGTGCGTCGTTAGTGCGTATTGAAATCGGAGCATTCAAAGGTTTGGCGCATTTAAAACTGCTGAACGTGTCAAGGAACCTTCTCACCACGCTTGAGGCGGGATCTTTTGATTCGGTGCAAACCCTCAGAAGCCTGGGGCTCGATGGGAACCCACTGGCCTGTGACTGCCGTTTGCTTTGGATACTGCGAAAGCGGCTGCGCTTGGACTTCGGCGGGAACCCGCCGACTTGCACTACCTCGGCCGAGCTTCAGGGCTGGGACTTTCTGGACTTTTCCGAGGACGAGCTCCCGAATCTGCTCACCTGCCGACAGCCTCGCATCCTGAGAGGCAGACTCCAAGACGTGAGGGTGGATCAAGGACACACCGTGTTGTTTTACTGCAGTTCGGAAGGAGACCCCCGGCCATCTGTTCGCTGGTTAAACCCCCGGCTGAAATATGTCCCGTCCGTCGGTAGAATACGAACTCTCTCCAATGGATCGTTGGAGGTCCGCTATGCCCAGCCTCACGACAGCGGTACTTACGTCTGCGTGGCGTCAAACGCTGCGGGAAACGACAGCCTGCCCGTCAGTCTTTATGTCCGAGCCTTCTCGCTGTCTTCTAAAAACAACTTTCTCCCTCAAGGCTGGTCCGCCTTTCCGTCCGACTCGCCGAGCTTAAACGGAAACCAGAAATTGCAATTCGACGTCAAAACACTGCTTATCGCCGCGACCATCGGGTTCCTTTCGTTTTTCAGCTCGGTGACCGTGTGTTTCGTGTTCATGTTTTTCTGGAGTAAGAGCAAAGGCCAAATCAAGCACACAGCCACCATCGCGTACGTGCCACGAAGCACCATGTCTAAGAGCAACGGGGCGACGGGCAACTACATGGAGACGAGCAGATTCACCATGAAACTGATATGAGACAGTTTCCAAAAAAACAAGTATTGACTTGTCAGAAGGTGCAAACACCAAACTGCAAAAAGTTTATCTTAATTTCTCGCCTGAAATCATTAAATATTACAGTGAGCGTTTTTCATGCAGCTTTTGATAATTTTACTGAAATAAACACTAGCATGCTTTATTCTTTTATGAGACACAAGCTGCACTTTAACAAAGAATGAATGTACAATTTTCCAGTTTACCAGCACTGACCTAAAGCATAGAAGATAACTCAGTAACAAGATCCTACATATATTAACCACGTTTATATTGATGTATAAAATGTATATATTAAAGATTTCAGAATACAGGAAGACTATGTAAGTAACACACTGACTCATTTTATAGTTTGCTTGTATTTGGTTTGTTTATTATGTCTCTAAAAATCTAATTAAATAACATTTATTGCGAGAGATATTCATGAACCTCAGACAAATAAATAAAACAAAAGGAATATCAGCCTTATATTAAGGTTTTTAAAGGCTATGTAGCAACTGCATCTCGTCTTAATTTATTCATATTTGTTGGTATTCTTATAACATCATAACATTCATTTTATGATCTGTACATTGGAATGCAAGTTCTTGAGTTTTATTTACCTGTTTGAAAATGACAAAATTAAAATGACTTTTTGATGAACGTAATCACTGTGAAGTGTTTTTTTTCAAAATCACTAAAAGTGCAGAATATGGCATCCAAGGAAGAGCCACATGTGCCGCTATGTGTGAGAAAGAATAGCAAATAGTCATACGTCCATTTACACTATGTGAAAATATCTACCACAATGGAGCAGTGATCTGAGGCCTCAACCAGTGAGTGGAGCTAAACGCACGCGCTGTGAACACAACACAGTAAGTGACAGTTTGTGGCAAATGTTTGATTAATAGAGGAAAAAATGTTAACTCTAACAAGATGGATCAGGACTTTTATTTATTACAATAACATCAATGCATTATGTTAATTCTGCTGTTGCCATGACATTGTATCAACTCTGCCAGTAAGCATCAGCTGTTTCCATAACAACCCTCTACACAGACCATTGATATGATTAAGAGGAAATATGATTGTGAAGGAGAATATCCTGAAAACATGGCCCACAGTAAATTGAGATCACATTGTCATACACATACCAGAACACTGCTGTGCAATTTAATTAATCTCCAATTGATTACTTCTATAAGAGCTGTTATTTTGTACTACAGGTTTGGAGAGTTAGTTTCATATATTTTTATCTGTTGTCAGTTTCCAAAATTTAGCAAAAGTTTAAAAACCAAAATGGGTTTTGGAAGATTTCACTTCAATCATATTATAGGCCGACTGGCAGAGCCACTAACATTTGGGTACTAACGCGAGAATGGTGTAGTCACCCGGAAATGCGTCAATGCCCCGGATGTAATGGGTTGCTAGAATGGGCTGTGTTAGCGGTTAGCATATATGATTAATATAACAATAGAACAAAGTTATATTTTGCTGGATTAACCGTACAATTTTTACAAATAAAAATCAAAATTTATGAGGTAAATATGTGTGGAATGAGGTACCGTAATAGTTACAGAGAGTAACTACAAGATAAGCAGGCTCTACAAACAATCGTAGCTGACAACAAGCTAAGAAGAGGCTAAAGTTGGTTTTCGTTCTTTAGAAATTATAACTATGAGTCTGGCAGGTAGTCGCGAACCCAGAAAGACGGCGGGTAACCGCATGTCTAAATTACTGGATGCGGAAGAAGAGGACGAATTCTACAAAACTACTTACGGAGGTTTTAACGATGTGAGTATATTGACTGAAAACAGAGAGCTATCTGATGGGTTAGCTTGATCCTACCAGCGAGAAATGAATGAAATGTCCCCTTTAAATTGCTTAACATTTAAAATGCGCTAAATGGTCAAACATTTGTGCATTAGATTTCGACACAATGGCATCATATTGATTTATTTCACTCAGAGTCAATAAAAAACGCTCCTTAATGTTTCTTGCACAGTGTAACAACTATTTGAATTGTCAGGTGTTTTCTTTTAGAGATGGATAAGTAAACTTAAATAATGAAAATGTTGCATTACAAGTACTTATAACTCCTCAATGAAGACGTTGTACTTTTGCTTACCAATATGTCCTTTTTGGCTGAATTATTCCCCTTTCTATTACTTCAGGAATCAGGAGACGACGAATATCACGGAGAACATTCAGACACAGAGGATGAGGTCGACAGCGACTTTGATATCGATGAGGGCGATGAGCCGGACAGTGACCAGGAGGAAGATGCTCCTCGCAGAAAAAGTCGGGTTGTGACTAAAGCTTACAAGGTATTTGATTAACTTGAGGAGCTATCACATTCCGGGGAATTTGCAGCAGGCTTGTGCTTCATGAAAGATTCATAGGATAAACGCAGATGCATTCCTTTCTTCAGCCTCTGTTGTATCTTTCACCCCACTTATGCATAATTGTACATCTACACACACCAGCTCCAAGTGTTGCCAGCTCACAAAAGCTACAAGAGATCAGACGCCATAACTGGTGGCAATGTTCTGTTCTTGATGGTTAATCAGACACTTTCATGAAGAGATAAAATAATTAAATAAGTAAGGCTCTTAACTGCTTACAGAAACTACAGTACCTTCAGATTAAATTATTTACTGGGTAGAAAAGTGGAATGCTTAATGTTTGTTTGATGCTGTGGAGCAGAATTTGATTGAATCCAGAGCCACAGCTCTCTGTGAAAAGATGAAAATGATTTGCTGCTCACTCCGTTTTGGATTTTTGTTGATTCGAGGAACCCATAAAGGTGGCAAAACCCAAACCTAAAAGGCCGAGTGAGGAACAGAAGAAGACAGAGAAAACCAGAGTGGAGCTCAAAAGGAGAATTCCACAAGAGTTCCAAGATTTTGGTGAGAGTAAGTTTGTAACAAATGTGCCTTTTTAAATTGTTCTAAAAGTCCCACTAAACTGTTTACCTTAATCTGGTTTTACACATTCACAACATAAGTATGAATACAATCATAAATGCATGAGCTAATCTGCTAAAACATAGCGTGGGCTTAGTTTTTAAAGATCTGTGAGCTCTAATGCATCGATTCTCCTGTAGCTCGCAAGTCTGTGCGTCAGTCCACCAGTGAACACACACGGAAGACCAATCTGCGCCTACAGGAGCGCCAGGATGCCCCGAGGAGGAGGAGGGGGGCTCACCGCGACCGGCCTCTGACCCAGGAAGAACTTCTGGCCGAGGCCAAAATAACAGCCGAGATCAACATCCGATCTCTGGGTAAAATGAATTGAATAATAATCTGCGAGAGGGATATAAAATGTACAATGAGTTAAGTTAGAATGAAGGACCACTCTTTTTATTTAAGTTACATTGTGTCCTGCAGCAGGAGCATCACTAAAAATGTCTATTTTGGCAATGAAGCATATGCTAACTTCCTCAAAATAGACAAGTAGTATATTGTTCTCAATGCAATATATCAGATTATGATTATAAATCGACAGTTTGGGTTGTAATGACAGTGACGCATTCATTCATTTGTACATGACACTCGTGTTGCAGAAAACTATGAACGTCTGGAAGCAGACAAGAAGAAACAAGTTCACAAGAAGCGGCGTTTTGAGGGCCCAACGATCCGGTACCACTCAGTCCTGATGCCCCTCGTCTCCCACTCCGTCCTCAAAGAAGAAAATGTAGACGTCGAAGGGTACGTACAGACACGGGGATGCATTTGACAGACACGGTGATTACCTTTCTTCACTCCCATTTCAGATTCTGCTGCAACTAATCTGTTTCATAGCCGTTTAATCCCTCTCAGAGGAATGTTTGCCAGAACATTATATGTTCATGTTTAGCCATTATGTAATTTGCAAAGGAGATTTATAGCATTTTTTAAAATCCGCCGTGGTGTTTTCTTCTGCTTCTGGTGAATTTGATCAAAACAAGACATTTGAAAAACAAAAAACAAAAAGCTTGATGAGGAAGATATGACGGTAAATCTTCCCATCTGTAGAGGAGCTACATATAGTTCTCTCAAAACCAAATATTCAGGTTCTCAATCCCCGTTTCCCAAAGGCTGGATCAGGACGTTCCTCAGACTGCCCCACAAAACCCGGCGGCGGCGGCGGCCGCCCAGCAGCCCGCCGCCGGCCTGTGCTCCCGGACTTACATAACCTTCAGCGACGACGAGGCCTTCGAGGCGGCCTTCCCCCCCGCCTCCCAGCCCGCCGCCCAGCTGCCCGTCCAGGAGGTCTGCCCCGTCACGCACAAGGCCGCGCTGTACCGGGACCCGGTCACCGACATACCCTACGCCAACGCGCGGGCCTTCCGCATCATCCGAGAGGCCTACCGCAAATACGTGGCGGCCCACGGGTTCCCCAACACCTCCGGGGGAGCGGGAGCCGACGCGGCCGCCATTAAAGGGGCCCGCCAGAAAATGCTGGTGAAGCAGAGCGCCGTCTCCACGTAGATTGCCGCTCCTCAGACGTCGGCCATTGTTTTGAACTAAAAAGTTACTTCGTCCCGTTTGGGTGGACCTGACGGCCCGATTATGAGGAGCACAACCACTCCACAACAGAAGCTTCTAACCTACCAAACAGCCAGATGACGTGTTTTTGGATCCTTTGCTTGTAAAATATATGAACTCTTGGGACTGAATGGAAAAACTTCAGTTTGTGTAACTGGTAAGTTCTTTTTTTTTTTTTTTTTACAAGAAAACAAAAACAAAAAATAAAGATCTGAAACTACCACTGTCTCTGAGCATAACTGATATTTTTAAGGTGACTTTTAACTGAGTAGCAGATCCTCTCTGTTTTGACTCTGTTCTTTCATTTTGCATTTGTTTTAGCACCATTACTGAGTCAGATGAAAGCAGCGGAATTTATTCCATCACTTCTTACGGCAGGTCTGATCAGTCCTTTTCCCCTTTTCATTTCGTCGCTTGAAATATTCTTATTCACATCAGACAGGAGCCAATTTTCTTCTTCGTCATCATCTTCCGTTGGCTGGATATGATGTGCGAAACTGAACAGAAAAAAGCATTCTGAACGCGCCGGGAGGAAAAGTATTTTCTTTCTCTTGTGGTAAATGGGAAATTGTCCAGGCTTCACTCGAATAAAACCGCCCCACTGTTCTGATCCTTACAGTGCGTTAAAAATAAACCGTTTTCCTTCTCAATAGACGATAACGAGGCAGCAAAGTCACCCCTGAGCTCTCGACTAATGCGGCACCTTTGACCTTAAACACTGAGCGAGAGTCACATCCTGCAGCTCTCCACCTCACCGGCCACAGAAAAGCCCTCCAGGTAACAAAAATAATGAATCCCTTTAGTCAGAAGACACCGTGGACTAAAACAGTAGAGGCAGAAAAAAATAACCGCCTCACTTTGCGTTATCTGTTGTGCAAAATGACAGGCGATCGATAATGAGGGAAACCAAAGTCAGCTTTGGTTTCACTCCCTCCCAAATGCCACAGAAAGCCCCCAAAATGTCCAAATTTAGGTTGTTGCTCACATGATCACATTTCTGTGATTGTCTTTTTTCCTATAATGTCCTGAACAGTGTGGGAGTCACAGCCTTTTTACAGTTTTTTTTAAACATTTTTTAAAGTTTAGAACCCATCTGTGCTGATCTCTCATTAGTCTCTTTTTCTTCTTGAATCTAAAAGTGGAGCTCGCTGGGCTCCAACAGACAGACAAACATTTGCTCTGTGACGATATTGGAAAAGCCGACTTTTGAAAGGTGTGCAGACGCCTCCTTTCTCTCTAAATGTCGTTCTTCAAAGAGAGCGGAGGAGATACTTATGAGAGAAAAAATACGAATGAGGGGTGTGCAGAAAAATCTCCAGAAAATCAGCCTCACTGCTTGTGCATTTTGTCTGCTTCAGAGAAGAATTACACACACACACTGGTTTACTACCTGAAAGTTAGAAAAGAAACAGTTTATGGACAAAGGAAAAGCTGACTTAGTTTGACTATTAAGCCTCAAGCGTGGAAAGGCTTTTAGACCATAAATGAGATGGGAGCTTGGTTGCTATTATCTAACTCTCTATAGTAATGGAATGAATTTTTGTAAAGGAAGTAGAGACTAAACTGAAAACAAACCTTGAGGGGCAAAAAAAAAAAAACCCTACATAATTTAATCTCCATAAATATCTAGGATATGACATCTGGGAAGATACAGTTGTTTACTGCCTCAGGACAGAAATAGCTGGAGTCTCTTTTCCATCTGAATCTTTGTCAAGTCAGAAAGTTCTTTCCTTTGGCCTTTATTCATATGAAATCTTTTAAAAAAAAAGAGACCACATTAAAATTGATAGTGAAATCTGGACATTGTTAAATTAAATGGATCTGGCACAGTTCAAAGCACCCTCTGATATCATGTTTTGATGTATTGGAGTTTAAATCTAATTCGTTTTCACCAGATAGGATGAACAAGATCTTCATACCAGACGGAGTTAGGTTGGTTTCCTGGGTAAGTTTGCTCTTTACTAATTGGTATATTGGTAATGTCAAAACAGTAACAAAGGAATTAGAAAGGAGGACATCTTATTTTATATAATTTCAGAAAATGTTATTATGATTTTTGTTAAGTGTCATGAGCAGAGTAAAAGGTGTTAACGTTTTTGCTTTGGAAATTCTTTTTTGTGTGTACAATGAGATGTTACCAGGCTGGGGCTTGATGTTATCTAATGTCAGGAATGGAAAACTACTTCTTTGGACTTGTATTTGATGATTTGGGATGTATGATATTGAATGAAATCTAAACCATCATGAACATGAAGTTAACATTTGGACAGTGAAACAGAGCACAGTGTGGTCATTATAGCCCACACCCGTGGCTCTGTGATGAAGGATAATGACCCTTCAGGTGGGCAGGTGGTTTGTGTCTTGATCCAAACCATGCTGGAAGGAAAAAACTCACCCTGGAGAAGGACCATCATCATAATTCTTTAAAATGACAAGCTCCAAATTCTGATTTAACGCAACAATATGTGGAGGGGCTATCACTGCCGTGCCCCCCAGCCAGGGCCACATTCAAAATCCACTTTAGGACACGGATCTAAAAGAGCAAGTGGCACAAAATAAATGTTATTTCACTGGTCGGTATGAAAGCGGACGAACAGCAGGAAGCGCATTGGCTTTTTTATTTTATTTTCATCTTGCCTTTTTAACTCCGTCAACCCTGATACTGATTCTTTGAAAGCAGCCACTGCCCACACACCCACACCGCCACTTGCTATGGTGAAGGGGGGGCAAAAAGAGCACACACATTAATTCTAAAATAACAAGTTCTCCCTTCCAGCGGCCGGTGATGCATTCAGTGTCGGGCTCAGCCAGCCTCTCTCCGGTGTGCAGACGGCTGTAATGTATGCGTTGAGATAATGAGCCGCCGGCCGCTTTTGAAGCTTCTAAACGTTTTTTTCTCTGATCGTCTCCATCGACAGGACGGCGGAGGCTTTTGTCTCCCACATACCGCACGCCGCATATGGCACCAGCCGAACAGTTCGCCGGAACGGGGAAGGAGAGAGGGAAGCTGCATTATCGGGCCCCTTCCAGTGAGAGGCAGTTGCCATGGAGACGAGTGTAGGTGGCGCGCGGCGCCGTACTCTTCCCATTTCCCTCTCTCCTCTCCTCTCCTCTCCACCCTCTCCTGTTCTGCTATCTGCAACTTTCATTCCTCCGTTTGTACCCCATTTTGTGACCCTCAAAATGTAGGAAAATAGAGATGAGCTAGGGTTTGCTCTTTGGTTTGTAGGGATCACCAGGTGTTCGTTTGTTTCCGTCTTTATGTTTGACAACTTTCTTTTCCAGCTCCGAGCCCACACAACCTTTTGGTTTTTTTTCTCTCGATTCCATTTTTGATTTGATGTCGACTGGCCGGGTTCTCCTGTACTTTACGCTTCTCTTTCTCCTCTTACACACTGGCTATTCTTTTATCAGTTTCCATGGAGATTTGAGTGTGTGTGCAATATGAGCGACTGTGTGAGAATTGAGAGTGAAAGAGTGGGGATGTCTCATTTCCAGTTGAGGTTTTTGGTGTGTTTAGGCCTCCAGTATCACACACTCTGATATTCAGCAACATAAATTTGCCACCCCCATGTATTTTTTTTTCTAATTTCACCAACTGTTTTGTACTTTTTAAATTCTTTTATTCCTAAAATCTGATTGGATTTTTTTATATTTTTTAAGGTAAAAAGAACCTTCTAAGAAAACAAACTGTAGAAACTGAAAACAGATGGGCTCCCATTAGTGCAGAGATAAATCCTCTTTTTGTTGGTTTACTTTCAATGGCTCGAACCTTGAAATGAGTCATTGCATATCACCATTTACTTTTAAAAAAAGCTCGTCGTTATTATTTCATATCCGTAATTAATGCTTGTGTCGTGCTTGCAGTGTAGCAGGGGGGGAGACCTAACGGGGTCACAAATTGTTTTGGAGGGATTTATGTAACCGTGGTTACATATACCCGCAAAATGATCTATGACACATTCAGGATTTAACAATTACCTATGCATGTTTATGTAACATATTTACATAGCACTTGTTCCGATCAAAACAGAACAATAGCTGTTGCCTCCACAAATCTGGACGTAAATGGACAGTTTTTTTTTTTTTTTCATTTACAAGAATAAAACTCGGTAAATTTTTTATAGACTAGTGAGTCACCCAAGGATTTCATCTCATTGGGCTATTGTTTATTTATTCCTTTTTCAGAACAACGCGACAGAAAAAAAAAACTCAACTCAGCCTCTGAAAGGCACGTCTTCATTTTTTCCAATGCTTTCATGCTTTGAATAACAGTCAGTGAACACCTTCAATAGTAGATTGTGTCGGTTTCGAAGATCTCTAGCTGCAAATAAAGATTTGACCTCTTAGACCGAATCTATTGTAAATATTGCTTAAAATGCAGCTCGGCACAGACTCTGGACTATATTCGCTACACCTGGCTTATTCAGACCGCTGCATCCATTTGTGAACTCTTGTGAACTAAGATTAAAGGAATACTGCACCTTTTCATACAGGGTTGACTCATCACGGGTAGCACCTGATCTTTCATCTATTCAGACGCTAAAATTTTGTAAAAAAAATGTATCAGACACAATTTTTCAGAGTGGGCTCTTTGGGCAGACGTGCTTATAGGTTTCTAAAAGTCCACTCGAACGTTTTAAAACCAAGACTAAATGTGTCCTGGGACATGAGCTCTGCATTTCTAATGCTTACTGCAAGGAAAAAGTTGGTAAAGGAAGCCTCTGATGTGATAATACTGCAGAATTATTCATTCCGATCTGTGCTGAATGCCTCTCCTCGTTGTTTCGGTGTATAAAATCCCCGGTTACTACAACCGGGTGTTGGTACTGACTCTACCTTGACTAAAAAGTCTAGGTAGAGGATAGAAACAACGTTTCTAGCCAGCATGATGGAAGCTGCATGGCTGTAGCCGCATGTGAGGTTTTTAGAACACCCACTTCTGGTTTCATTTCCGTCTCTTTGTGGGGATGAGGAATCCTCACTGCTGGTGGAACACCCACTCCTGACCCCGATAGCACAATAGAGCCAATTAGTATGCATATAGAAAAAGACCTCCCTTAAAAACCTCCAGAAAATGTATGTAACCCACGAAAATGAAACATTTGCGTTTCTGAGACCCTCAAAATTGAAAACGTATCCTCTAACATGAATGGATTTTGAAGCAGGTGGACGAATTAACATGTTAGAGACCATATTAACAGTCTGTTTCAAAGAGTGAATGGTGTAATGACAACATCTCATCTTTAGATCTGTGTATAAAGACTGAAACACCCAAAATGTGAACGCACGAGCCAGTTTGTTGGTGATTTAGAGCCCCCCGGATATAGTCAGAAATCTGAATTGGCACAAAATGAGACGTTGTAGATAATCCATTTCATGTCCAATCTGCATGTGAAGCAAAGGAGACACTTAAATGTTAAAATGATACAAGTCTGCATAGAGACTAACAACCCATTTGTAACCAGAATTAAAGCAAGCATTGAGGAGCATATGTAGGTGCACCTTACCTTACCTTACCCTACCTTACCTTAAGAGACAACTCTGAGAAGCATTTGCCCGCTCAGGCGCACTTAAATGAACTTTCCTGCCTCATTTTCTATCGCAATTACTGCGCACGGCGGGGGGTCTGCGTCGTTTCGTGTCATTTTCCGCCATCACAAACTCCGGAGAAGGTTCGCAGTTGGGTGTGAAGCTGCCTTTGGAGGCGCTGGTTTCTGTTCGTTTCTATCTCATGTTCTATCTCCGCCCCCCAAAAAAATAGGAGAGACTTCTCCGTTTACTGAGCACCTTTCTCGTGCACAGCAATTAAATCCAATTTAGAAGCGAAGAGGCTGCGAGGATCAGGACGCGCACCGGATCCACCTTCCCGGTTACGAATGTTTGGATAACGGGGAACGTCGTTATACGCCACACCGGGTGAACTGCAGATGCTTTCCAAGATTAAATTACCCGACCCGGAGGCAGGGGGCACGGCAGGAGATGACCACGAATCCGAATTGAACGCGTCGCAAGTATCGAGATCTCGTTTGTAGATATTCCAGGATCTTTTATTTTCGATGCCTTTTTTGCGCGCAGTGTGCGGTGAGGTTGTTTGCTACCCAGAGTTGGCACAGCCCGAGGGTTTCACCCCTAGTATTTGTATTTTTTCCCAGTCATTTGTCACTGGCATGACTATTATGCAACGTCCTATAGACGTTAACAGTCCTAATCTTCTATCTTAAAACACAAATGTTGGTGGCAGATGATGCACTAATTGGATCGGATTTCCCCAATTTTTTTTCCCAATTAAAACGCAAGATAGGGGGGCAATTGGAGTCACATGCGCCCGGATCAGACACTTAAAGATGACAAAACCCATCAAGACAGGAGAGTGTCTTCATTACAGATCGGGCCGTGCGGGGATCGCGTTTCAGTTTGAGGATTGCGATAGAGTTGGAGGAAAGGGAGCGACGGAGGAAGAGAGGGAGGAGAAGCAGAGGGGAGCTTCCGAGCCGTACTGTGGCCAAGCTGTGGCTCCAGTGATGGACTGATCTCGGGAGGGGGGGGTGTTGACGGCCAGCTTCTGAAGCCTTGAATAACGCGCAAATTGGACACATCGCTTGCGCAGCGAACGGCGCAAAAAAAAAAAAAAAATTGGCCTGATGCATAAACCACTCCGAGATCTCAAAGAGGGACGACGCTGGCCTTTCGGTTGGAAACTCAGGTCTGCTCAAACTGATTCCAACCCGCGTCCCGAGGAGTAACTAACTAAAACCTGGAACCTCAGAAAGAGCCCTCCCCAAGTGCCCCTGGAAAAACAGCCGGATCCAGTCTGCGCCCACAGATGCAACTGATCTGTTAAGATTTCTTCACTTGAAAGTCCCCGTGTTTTTGGGTAAGTGGTGCATAGGAGTGTGGGTGTAGAGAAGGAGGCATGCAGCAAAAAAAAAAAAAAAGCTTAGACGAAGCTCTCTCGTTGCGGTGTTGGTGGGTCTGATAACTTGTCCACCTCACAAGGTGTAGGCAGGAGGGACTGCGCCAGATGTTCTCCACAGCTGGGCAGCTGTCCAGACACGTCTGGGTCCTGCTGAATTTTCAGCTGTGTGACCTCTGATGACTCTGTGGCTGTAGTTTAAGGAAAAGTGAGAAGTATGCATGCATAGGAAAAGTGAGCGTCTTTTTATGGGTTTTCTTTTCTTAAAAAAAAAAAGAAAAAGAAAAATGGCATCAGTTTATTATAGAGGTCTTCACGAGGCTGATAGCTGTGTTATGCATACCTCCCAGGAGTTTAGGTATTGGTTTGCAGTGGTGCAAAGTGCATTTTTATCCACATAATGATGGGCCTGTAAGTGAAAAACACATTATTTCAGAAAATGCATGACTTAATTTGACAGAAATGTTATTTGTTACTTTTTATTGGAGGAAATCTTAGTGCATTGCAATGGTGGTTCTTTTTTGTTGTGCTTTCTTCTCTCATTATTACAATAGAAACATTTGCAACTTTCCCTGAGCAGTTGTCATCACCATTAATTTATCGTTCAGCTACAAAATGCTGATGTCGGCGTTTCTTTGCAGCATATCTTTTCTGAATCATTATCTCCGAATAATTTGTTTATTGAATAATTTTTCTGTGACTTCTCAGTTGGGAAATAAACAAACATAGAATTTACTTTAATCCAAGGACAACATTTATCCTGATGAGTACCTTTTTCTTTTTGGATTGAAGTTCTCTCAACAGAAGTCACATTTGGGAAGCCACACAATGATGATGTGATCATGACTCCTTTAATCCGACATTTGTTGGTCAGATGTGGAACACCAAAGTGAGCCGTAACTAATTTCTGTTTTGGTCCAAAAAACTGAACTCAAGTGATCGGATCTGGATTGAAATTTCTAACAGATTATATGGATTATTTGGATTGTGAAACCTTCATTTTTAAAAAGATGAAAAATAAAATCTATTTCATTGCTTTTATTTTGTCTTTCTTTCTGGCAGTAGACCATAACAAACCAAATTCAGTTCACAACTTTCAACTTTAAGGCAGGTCAAAATTAGACTTTTTTATTCCTCTATAGTTATGATCCGAACTATACTGGCTAGATATGAAAGTAGCTTGGTGTTAGCCAGTAAATTTAGAATGTTTTTTATCCTGGACTTTAATCAAGGTGGTGTACATTCCTCCCAAACTCCGAAATGGCTATTTTCTGTCTTCCCCATTCATTTCCGAATTGGGATCCAGCTTCAGTGTAGTTCAAGGGGAAACTGCAAAAGCTGGTACAGACTAAAAGCCTCTCCAACAGACGCGGAGTCTGTTGGTGAGACTTTTCGTAGCGTTTCACAGAGGCTGCAGTTTGCTAATTACCCGTCTCTGGGTGCTGCACACAAACACCTGCACTCTACAGGGCCAGCTGGATTATTCATCAAAGAGCTGACTGTGAACCGTCCTATAATGGCAATCAAAAAGATGCAGAGAGATTACTCAGCCCGGTTTTAATTGGTTCTTGTTTTGAGTGCGTCTCCAAAGCTTGGCTCAGTTTACCGAAAAAGAATAGCTTCTTTTTGACAATGTGCTTTGGAAAAAAGTGGGATTTTCCAAGAATAGTCCCCGAGTTACTGTATAAATGTTCTGCAACAGTGTTTGTTTGATTTGATTAATACATTGCTTTGACAGCCTCCCTATATCTCGGCCGAAAACGGATATAGTTAATGTTTGGAAGCTGTGAATCGTCCATTATGTATCACAGTTATTGCACACGGTGGGCTCCCCCGTCTGCAAAAAAACAATGCAGTGGAGGGGAAAATACTTCAGCTAATGAAAAGACTGAGGCTGGAACAAGATAAGTCCTGCTCACTCTGACTCATTCCCCCTCACTGGATTTCCACATCTTTCCCCTCCATATGAAAAACTGTATAGCTACCTATGTAAGATATGACGGTCTCCTGCTACTCCTCATGGAATTATTGTGTAGGTTTGGCTGAAATTAAAAGGCATGATTCACAGATATCACTTCATTATTCTCAGTTCTTCATAAACCTGAGAATCTGGACTTCTGACTTCTCCATCGCAGTTATCTGTCAGATAACAGCCATCAAAGAGCCGATTCCACTCCAAAACCAAATTCCTGTACTAATTCTGCCGTTCTTCATCCATCGTAGCCCACATCGCGTTGTCTGGGCTTCACACTAGGGAATTTCTGCCAAGGACAGACAGGCTTTGTCAGTTCGGGTTGAATGTTTTCCTCAGAAACAAAGTGGGAATCTTTGCCAAGTCATTTTCTGTCCTGGAGTTTCCTCAAATTGTTTTTCTTTCGCCCCCGGTCTTGAAATTTTCTTCTGTCCTCATTATTTGATGACCAATAGAAAACTACATGACAATTTCTTTTCCCCCCAGTGATTCTTTGCTATCACGAGCCTCTCCTCTCAATAATAATCTGTTCTCACTTTCAGAACCGACTAATAATCCCCTCTCATCTTCATCTCCTCACACATGGGTCTGTTGGGGTGTGTGTGTGTGATGTAAATGTGGTCATTGGGGTCTGCGCAGAAACCTGTACTGTATACCACAATATAGGAGCAGCTACTGCCAATCAAAAAAAAAATGGACTCCACATTTGACGAAAGGCTCTGACAAGTGTTGAGAGCAGTCCAGGTGCCAGATGCATGAATGATTCATGCACACAAAAGCCATGCAAATGCTCTCCCCGTCATGAAAAATGGAATAAGTCCTCCGTGCCTTTTCCTCCCATGCGTACACGTGTTTAACTGGTTTTTAGAATAATTTATCCGCCCGTAAAGTGAGGTGGAAACAGAAAATTGAGGCAAACAGACACATTTTTGGAGCTTGGAATCTATTTTTTTCAATTTGTTTTGATTATTAAGAATTCAGGATGATGCATAGAGCCACTTGTCACAGTCATATGCTGGATAGATTCCAAAGCATATTGAATGATCCTGACACTTGTGTGTCCCTAACTGTGTCTTCTGAAAGACTTTATTAGTACGTAATTTAGTACGTAATTTGAAAGATTTTGAGTGAAAGATTAGATCTGATCTAAATGGTTATTCCCGGCAAAGTGTTTTTCAGCATCTTCCAACATGACTGGAGGGGGATAAAGATGCTGATCTGTTTGCAGGAATGCTTATTAATTAATCATAGTAGCAGCTTTGTGACATTTAGCTTGGAACTGCATAAAGGGCAACGATGATGAGCTGCATGTAGAACTGCGCAAAACCATTTTTTTTTTTCCATGACACAGACAAATGTGTGGATCTTTATGTGTCCCTAAATGTACATCCCATATATTTTCATTACATCCAGATCACACACACACAAGTTTTTTTCAAAAATATATGGCAGTTTGAAAAAAAAAGGAAAGTAGTACCATAACAAACGCGTTCAACTCGCATCATCACATTATTTTAGATTCAAACAGTTTTTCCGTTTTTTGGTCATATGCACTTTTTTTTTTACCTTGGTCATTGTTGTTATTGATGGTGCATTGGTGTCAAAAACTAAATCGAGGAACTCTACTTGTGTCTGTGCCACATAGCTGCATGGACACATCTTCAAAGACGTGGCTGCCGCATCAGAGTCAGTTTGGGTTGGGTGGTCAAGTGGAGGTCTGCTGTGGTGGACCTGGAGTTTTAACCCCAAGTGAGTCAGTCATAGCCAAGAAACCGTGTGCGTTTCTGTCATTCCTCAGTCTGTCGTGGTCCGTGGAGGTTTTTTTCTCTGTTATACGTGTCTTTATGTCGCCTTTAGGCTGCCGTTTTGTCTGCTTTCAGTGGTCAGTGAAAGCTTTGAAATGCACCCGTGTCTCAGCTGCGTTAGGGTCTTCCGGTCCTCTCGGGAAGGACTTAATATTTTTGTAACTCTCAAACTTCCTCTGGAGCATCGCCCACCCCCTGTGCCCAGTTTTGTCACATTTCTAAGAGTTTTACATTTGCATTTGATTGCACCATTTTTCTTTTTTATGTTGCACTTCAAATGTTCCTCTGTTTCGTATGCAGATGAAAGCAGTCGTTTATTTTCACTTCAAAACCGGATGAGAATTGGTTTTCAGTCAGAAAAATATTCATAGCTTTTGTTTTATTAATAGAATTAAGACCAATACTGAGTGTGAGGACTAAGCAAACAAAGGTCAGTTTATGTGTCGAGAGCTTAAGATTGCAAACCCATTTTCTTTAGTTTGGCTCCACACACTGACATGCATAGCAATAATGCCTCTAAATACATTAGAGGAGATGAAGGTACTTTGATGGAGAGCGGTGCGCAAGCTGCGCACGTTCCTATGGTAACTAAGCCACACTCCTCTTGGCGAGTTCTCACACACAAGCCGAGGGACGGGCAGTGGAAGGACGAGAATGCTGGAAAGCGCGCGTGATGGGGGGGATCAACTTCAGGTTTGTGTATTTGTGTTGCTGTTCCTTTGCCTTCCCCTCACCCAGAGGACGTCCACACACTGAGTCAGCCGTTAGAAAAACGCTGGCCACATTGCAGAATGCCCACAGACACTTTTCTGTGTCTATATAGCCTCCCGTTTCTCCAAAAATATCTGTCAGCTTTTCTGCTGCTCACAGGTTCTTTCCAGTGACTCCCTCATGCCCCCACTGCCCCTTTCTCCCTCAACCCACCCCCCCCACCCCGCCCACATCTTCTTTTGAGTCCTGCAGAGCTGAGCTGCCTCCTTGGTGTGTTTTATATTTACCTCATTACAGCCCTGCTTCTAAATATAGCAGAAGAGTGACTCTGAATGCAGGGAAAAGTGTGTTTTCTTAAATTTTAGCTTGACTCTGACAATAAATCACTTTAAAAAACAATAAAGCAGAAAAAAAATACAAGAACATAATTTTCCGGTTTAAATTCCAGAACAATACTCATAACAGTACATGATCTTCCTCCGTCTGGTCCAGTGAATGGTATCAGTGCGTCTCTGGGCCAGTGGCATCTCGGATGCCACGCTGTGTTTGAAGTTCATGCTTACACAGTTTCAAACCTCCTGGGGTGACAATAGCAGGCTCTCGGAGAGCCGCCGAGCCGATTCAGAGAGGGAGCGCTCCCGTCAGTCACGCTGATGTTTGGTAAGTTGCTGCCATGGAATGGCTTAAAACCCCTCTTCACACTTCCTCAGCTTCAGACGTGGGGATGCGTGGTGAAGTTACTTACGGCGGATTAGCTCTTTTTGATTTAGAGTTCACGGGTCATACTTATCAAGCAGTTGTAGGATTCGGGATTAGCTTGAAAACTCACTTCACTCATACGGCCAACACCAAATACCTGCTTCTAAGAATATCTGCAGGGCAAAGATCGACCACGCCTGCACTTTTATTTTTCAAAACTGGTATCGTAAGATCACAAGTTGACTTTTTTTGCAGTGTTGAGATGACAAAGCTGATGAAAACTGCATTAATCTTGTTTTCTTGAGAAAGTGTTGCATTGTTTTTTGATTCACAAAGGGACAATTAGCTTTGATTTCTTGAGATCAGAAGGGGATTTTAATGTGCTCGAAGTGAGTGGCTCTTCTGTCAAATAAAATCTTCACTATCGCTGTCATTGCAGATTTAGAGGATCCATAAGATTAAACTAAACATGCATGTGTAATTATGTTAATTGCGGTTTCAACAGTGGCTGGTCCTCTGGCTCTATTGGCACTTCTGGAAACGCAAATCTTAAAGGACTTGATTAGCAGAATATATTAACTTATCTCAACAATTGGTGCTCTCATAATGATTTTTGATTATATTTAGGCTTCCCCATTTTGACTTTTTTTGTTCCCCTTTGTTGTATCTCTTGAAAAAACTGGTTTTAATCTTTTAAATCTTTAAAAGGTGGTATGAGAAGAATCCCTTTTTGGAGCAGACATATTTGGGTTAGATCGGTGTTTTATGAGAGCAGTTTGAAAAGCGGCAAATTCCCATGCCATAATTTGTGGTTCATTTTCGTTGAAGGCTGTATTTACTATTTGGAATATGGCAATTATGGAGGGGTTCCATATGACATGAACGTGACATCAGCACCAGCCGCCCTGCCAATGAGTCACTGGATGCTTCAGACCAGTCATAACGAGACCTTGTGTGTGTGTGTTTTGTTTCTGGACTCAACATCAACATTATATACAGTCACAGTAAGATCCAAATGATACAATTTTATCCAGTAATTTGGGTTATCAGGGTGGCATGGCAAGAGGGTTCCCGGTTCGAGTCCCTGGGAGGCCCGGTCCTTCCTGTGTGGAGTTTGCCTGTTCTGCCTGTGTCTGAGTGGGTTATCTCTGGGTTTTCCAGCTTCATCCCACTGTCCAAAAACATGCATGTTAGGTTAACTGGACATTCCAAATTAGCCCCTAGAAGTGTCTGTGATTGGGTGGTTGTGTGTCTCTGTGTACCCTGCCTCTCACCTCCCTCAGCTGGGATAGGTTCCAGGTCCCCCATGAGCCAGATGGGAATGAGCAGGATAGAAAATGGATGGATGGAAATGTTGTTGTCATTCTCAGTGTCAAAACATGAAAATGAAAAATTAATATGAATTATAACTGTAATATAATTTGAATGATTTCATATGACCTGACACATGAGATACACTCATAGCTGTCAGCTATCAAAGCACAATTTTAGGTGTAAGTCTTAATTTGACTATTAATATTAATTATTTTTGTTGTTAGACTTAAAAAGCCTTGACCCCATATATTACCTCGCTGACCATACACAGATTGTTTTTCTGTTTATAGTCAGCTTAGCCATGCGGAAACGTATACATATTGTTTCACTGTGGGGATCTGGGCTGGAATTTGGAGAGCGCAAACTAAAAAAAAACAAACATTCTGAACAAATGGAACCTGGAAATACAGTCCATCCATCCATCCATCCATCCATCCATCCATCCATCCATCCATCC